GGGCTGCGTCCCCGGCACCCGGCCGCCCCCATGGCTAGCTTATGCCCAGAAATAATTACACGGAAACTGTATTCTTTCAAACACTGCCTGGCCCGGCTAGTTCCAGTTTCTTATTGGCTAGCTCTTACATATTGTTCTAACCCATTTCTAATATTCTGTGTAGCCCATGAGCTGGCTTACCAGAGAGGATCTTAACCTGCGTCTGTCTGGAGTGGGAGCATCATGGCGACTCACTACTAAGCTTCCTTTTCCCAGAATTCTCCTCTGTTTTCTCCACCCACCTAAGGGTGGGCCTTATCAAGGGGCCTAGGCAGTTTCTTTATTAATAAGAAATCACTCCCACATCACAAGTCTCTCAGAATCTGGATCAGTCATGCATTTGAGCCTTAATGAGACAAGAGTAGGACACTAATATCTATCTGTACATGTGGGTCTGTGACAGATTTTAATTTTTATATTTTTCTTTAATAAATACATACAAGTTTAGAAAGTATTGATCATACCCAGTACACAACCCATCCTCCTTTCCTCCCAGACCCTCCCCCAAACATAGTCTATTCCCATTTTTATGTGTTCTTTTTCTGTTTAATGACACACTAATTCAAGGCTATAGAATCATCGACTGAAACATGAGCAATCTACCAAGGCCCATTTTTCTAAAGGTAACTGACTATTCTTTCCCCAGGAGCAATCCACTATCAATAGTTCCTCTGCTAGGAATATGGGGAATTGTGAGCCTGGCCCTTACATAATCAAAGATATGATGCTAACAGTAATCTAAGGATTTTTGTTAGTTTCACTTTTTTTCTTCACTGGATATATGATATATATATGATATATATATATATATCATATATATATGTATATATGATATATGCCTTCAAAACAGGAGCGATCTGAGGGTTGGCAAGAGACTTGGACCTAGAGGGGCTCCCAGGTGCCCAGGGCGATGTCACCAGTTAGTTCCTGGGGCAGCTGAGGAGAGGGAACCTGAAATGGCCCTATCCTATTGCCACACTGATGAATATCTTTCATATCACCATAGAACCTTCATCTGGCGATGGATGGAGATAGAGAAAGAGACCCACACTGGAGCACAGGACTGAGCTCCCAATGTCCCAATGAGGAGCAGAAGGAGGGAGAATATGAGCAAAGAAGTCAGGACCACGAGGGGTGCACCCACCCACGGAGACAGTGGGGCTGATCTATTGGGAGCTCACCAAGGCCAGCTGGACTGGGACTGAAAAAGCATGGGATAAAACCGGACTCTCTGGGCACCTTGGAGCACCAAATCTCTTGCCAACCCTAAGATGGCTCCCTTAATTAAGATGTGTGCTTCCCTGCTCCCCTATCCAACCTTCCTTTATCCCAAACATCCCGTTTCCCAAGTTCCCCCCAACC